TCCCCCAACTGATGTACAGTATAAGGTGACCTCTGGTCCCCCTACATATGTAGAATGAAAGGTGACCTCTGCTCTCCTACTGATGTCCCTTACTGATATACAGTTTAAGGTGACCTCTGGTCTCCCCAATGACTCACAATTTAAGGTGACCTCTGGTCCCCCTACAATAGCTAATGTACAATATAAGGTTTTCTCTGGTCCCCCAAATGATGTACAATATATGGTGACTCCTGGTCCCCCTGTTGATGTTCAATATAAGGTGACCTCTGGTCCCCCTACTGATGTAGAATGTAAGGTGTTCTCTGGGTCCCTTTCTGTGGTCCCCTACTTATGCATGTTATGTACAATATAAGGTGTCTTCTGGTTCCCTTCATATGTTGAATTCAATATGCCCTCTGGTCCCCCTACTGATGTACAGTACAAGGTGCCCTCTGATCACACTACTGATGTAGAGTTTAAGGTGACCTCTGGTCCCCCTGACTATGTATGATATAAGCAGAAGCAGATAAGGTGACACACTGGTCCTCTTACTGATATACAATATTAGGTGTCCTCTAGTCCCCAACTGGTGTACATTAAGGTGTCCTCTTGTTCCCCTACTAATGTACAGTTTTAGGTGACCTCTGGTCCCCCTACTTATGTACTATATAAGGTGACCTTTGCACTCCCTACTGATGTCCCCCTACTGATGTACAATATAAGGTGACCTCTGGTCCCCCTACAGATTTACAATATTACTTGTTCTCTGATCACGTTACTGTTGTCCCCTACTGATGTGTACTATAATATTAAATTGAATAAAATCTTACGGGAGACCACAGGTCACCTAACGTAATCTATAAATGTTAAACGCTTTTATATCATATATCGCATAAAATTGCAGTTAATGTTGCTCAGCAACCACCCTCCACCCCCTCTATCTTTTATAAAACCCTTCATATGGTTATTCCTTTTAAAAATTGTTTGTTTTACACTTTAAAGGCTTCACAGTATTAGGATTTATTCTACTTTCACTTTACGTATGCAACGCACTACATTTTGTAGCGGAGTAAACAGGCCCGATAGTCGTGAACTGAGCAGGGGGACCTCAGGGCCTATTTCAGCGTACGTTTTATCCTTCTGCTATGTAACAAATCCTACATTTTCATGATGATACATCTTGTGGTGATGCACTTCTCAATGTCAAACTTAATCACTAGTCATATTACATTATACACCTATAATATGCAATTATAATCAGTGTAATCATATATTGTAATAATTTGTTCATGCAACCCGAGGGCCCTTGATTGGTGAATAAACATATCTATAGAGATATGCTCTTTACGAGGGAATGCTCCGCTTTGCGATGCCCTTGTTATATTCTAAAAACGACCTGCTGTAAATTATCCATTAGAATAAAATAGATTTTTTCACGGGCCCAGGTTTATGCACTGATCTAGATAGGGGGGAGGGGGCAGAGTTCCCTGGAATTTGCAGAGTTATTAACTTGGACCCCCTCCTCCCTCCTAAAAACGTGGACAACCCTACAAAACGCAAAACTGTTAAGTTGGTATGAAAAGTTATAGATATGAAGCTTAAGAAGTCAGCAACTAGCGCCCCCTCCCCCCTCCCACACACACACGCACACGAAATAGGTTCACGTTTGGGAAAGGCGTTTACATTTTTTTGCTTGTCCAGAAATGTCTCGGCTGGAATTTTATAGGACCGGGATGGAACACCCCCCCCCCCCCCCCTGAAAAAAAATTCCTAAATCCGCCTGAGGTTGGTGTTAAGGCTTTCTTGGTTCATATGTGTTTTTCTTGTGACAACACCTTTCTTTGAGTTCAATTATTTTTTATATCTTAATCTTGACCTTGGAGTTTGACTTGCATTTGAAAAACTTTAACATTCGTCATGAACTGCCATGGGGGAGGGTGTCACAAGCACATCTTGATTAGATAAAACCAAAAAAAAGAGTGGTGTCGAAGTAGTGTGGTTTTAAGAATGTTTACAGACAGACAGAAAAACACATTCCATAGGCTAGAGTTGAACTAAACAGACACTACAGGTATTGGGTACATTATCAACCGCTTTTCCAATAGAAAAATCCGGAATTGAAATGAAATTGTGAAAATGGCAGGCGGGTGACCGGCTGGCACAAGGATACATCTAATATATTGAGCAAGCACGCCACAACATCATTTGTGCCTATCTATCCGCCTACAATTTTCAACATAGAAAGTTTTATCAACCGGAGATAGTTTTTAAATTCTTATTACGAATGCTTATATATATGTTTATTCACCAATCAAGGGCCCACGGGGGGCATGAACAAATTATTACAATATAATAAGAACATTAATTACAATTCTATATTATAGGTGTATAATGTAACATGACTATAGTGATTAGGTTTGACATTGAGAAGTGCATCACCACACTTGATCAAAAGCATAGAAAACCATAGGATGATAAAAAGAAAACACAATTAATAGATATAAGGTAATTTAAAAAAAAAAATTCTTGTAGTAATGGCAGTACTCTGATATATAACTAGTGCATCTTGAATACAAAGGGCACCAGGGGATGATACCTCTACACAGCCAGACTGGCAAACCTGTACCCTAAGTATTGAAGACGGTCATTCAAAAAAAAAATGTTTAAGTATCATCAGAAATAGTAATTTCAATTAATAAGTACTTAGCATATAATTATAGACTTGATGCAAACTAATCTCTTGGAGTTGGTTCAATAGATATTTAACATTCTAATCTTATAAATATACGCATACCCACATACACAAACATACACTTATTGTTACACATATCCATGCATACAAAAATAATAATTTACATACAAATATATGTATATATATAAACAAATGGTACTATCATGTATAAATGTAAATCTGTGAACTTGAAGGTAGCATACAATTAATGTAAAGAAAAGGTAACTTGGATACAGAGGGTACCAGGGGACGATGCCTCTGCACTGTCGATTATACTGGCAAACCCGTACCCCAAGTATCCAAGACACCTATTCTAACTGATTCTGTACATTTTAGAAGGTAATGGGGGGGGGGGGCACATTTAATTTACAAATAAAATAAAAAAATAAATAAGAAAAAAACTTTTCATAGGTTTACTAATACTTTTCATACTTCAGCTCTCATAATACTTTTACTGACGTGAATCAGTATTTGCACATCCTCATTAGTCATGAGCCAATTTAACTTATTATCACTGTCCAAGTTGTGGAAATTCTTACAGGATTTGTTTATTTAAGGTCAAGATCTAGTAAATGACTTTAGAATAACTTTTCAGTGCTAAATCCATTATGACATCATAATCACTTTCAACTTTCTTTTTCCCATACTTTACGTTTCTAATAAAATTATGTAGAAAATAAAGTATTTTCATGAAATTAAATTTGAAATCACGTGAAAAGTAGTCCCGATACCTATCTTAAATTTAACATTATTTTAAAGTAGAGACTAAGAACATAAAAATAACCGTTATCTGAAAAACTGTAGGCAATCTGGATACATTTTCTTTGTCTGATATGGAAAAAACTCCCATTTTCAATACTGGTTTCCTAAATTTTTCATTGAAAATGATAGTTAAAAATATGGGTTTTCATCTTGTTTTTCTACAAATTATGCCCCGAAACTACTACTTTGACCAAGCTAATGTTATAAAGCACCATTAAAGGAATTAATTTCTTAAATTTGAAAAATCTGTAGGCACCTTTCATTTACTAGATCTTGACCTTAAGAAATGACTCTAATTCTTGGCCAGATTATCGAGTATAATCTGGTTTGGGTCAGTTTACGCTTTATAATCCGCGAAGCGGATTATAAAAAAGCGTAAACTGACCCAAACCAGATTATACTTGATAATATGGCCAAGAATTAAAGTCATTCCTTATAATTTAATTTTAAAAAAATTAAACAACTTTTGGACTGGAAATGAGGGGATTGCATGGATATGATGATTAAGCTGGTCGTCAAGGGGGTGTGTCCCCCTACCAAACCAGATTATACAAAATGTTTTGCGTTCCTTTTTGGAATTCGACCAATGAGAGGCGAGAATACAAACAAAATTAAATTATTAATTCATACAAGACTTTTCTTTCATCCTTAATGTGATTACATGAAAGGAGAAAATGTTTCTCATCATCAACTGTTTTGTCATTGCATCTACTGCAGTGTCTTTCTTCTCTAGGAATGCCTATATATCGACCCCTTTCAATATTAAGTCTGTGAGCTGATATGCGAAAACGAGTAAAACTTCTCCTCTGCTCAAAAATCTTAATTAAATTATGATACTTTTCTTGACCATAATTTTGTTTAAAAGTGCTATAGCATCTCAGCTATTAGGGTGCTCATTTTTCAGTATTAATCCTCCCACAGTTTTATAGGAAGTAATTACATATATTTTGCGGATTAATTGAACATAATTAATTAGAAATGTGCATGATATCTGGAATTTCCTTTTTGATCATTTAATTATTAGGAAAGTATTAATTCCTGAATTTAGTCATTTTTAAACTTTATGTTTATTAATACTAGTATTGTCGAAATGTTACCTTCAACAATTTTCAATAAAACGTATTCAGACATACTTTTCATATAAAAAAAAAACAAAACAAAAAACAACAACAACAACAACAGTTTGTTGTTTCTTATTTATAACAAAAACAATACGACTGCTTAGCGTCTAGTTTTCAAAGTCAAAATATGTAATGTAACTTGGCTTTTTTGCAAAGCATATATATATATATGTTCTCCAGATATATATTAACATGATTAAGGTAGTCCGATCCTCAGGTTTATTAAATTAGCAGTTAATCAAAAATACTACAAAAGTTGGAAGGAGATCTGGGTTAGATCCCACCGTACCTCCTCTTTAGAAACTTCCAAATAGAATATGGCATCGATCTCTGTTTCTAACCACCCCTACGGTTTTGGAATCTCCGACCCTTATATTGCTAAGGAGGGCCTGCATATACGGTCTGGTATAAAAAGCCGAGCATTTCTTCCTTCAGATTCATCTGTTCAATATGAACCCCACCACAGCAATTGTAGTTTTCTTGTGTGTTATAGTTTGTGTATGCGGGCTTTCTACAACCGATAAGACAAAACAGAATGATGACATAGCCGACATTAAAAACAGACTAGGACATCTTGAACAGTTGATTGGACAACTGGTCACCGGAAATTCATCTTCGGATGTTTTAAAATTTAGTGGTAAGATTTTAATGAAATATTTTCGTACTTCTTTTCTGAGACATACAATTTTACTTATATTTTGTTATGCTGAATTTGCACAAAGTTACACTAAGATCTGAGTAATTTCATTAATTAACCGGCTTTAAGTTTGAATTTGGGGAAAGGCTCACTACTGAAAAAAAAATTCCTATAGGTAAAATTTCTTAGGTGTTACATTTAAATTTTAATTATTTCGGTGCCTATATTTCTTTTTTTTTGTTTTCATAATCTTCACATAATTATATAAATATAATTATTACTGATTGGTCGTATTTTTTTCCAGATTCAGTTGTAACATTTTGTATTTTAAATATACATGTATTTTGGAATCGATACCACAAGTTTCATAACAGGCACGTAGCATCGTTTTTTAAAGTGGGGGGGGGGGGGGAACCAGAGAAAAAATTTTTTTTTTACTTACCTATGGAATGCCATATATACGACAGCCAACTGCTTACTGCCAACTGCTGACTGCTTACTGCCAACTGTCAGCTGCTTACTGCCAACTGCCACAAATATTTGATTAAATTTTATATTTATATTGATATTCATATGAATTTTCAAGAAAAAAAAAGAAGGTAAAAAAGGCGCGGATCCAGGACATTTTTCCAAGAGGGTCACCCAAGTTAAATGACCAATGTGTTTTATTTTACGAAATATTCAATATATGAGATTGATAAAGTACATTGTTTATTTTTTTAAAATTTGTTTTCTTATTTGAAATAGGTAATAAAATTACTATTTCTATTTTCTGCTTTTAATTTTTAAAGAATTACCCCCCCCCCCCCCGGAGACAACAAAACCTTTGAAGAGAGAGTGAGAAAAAAAAAGATTTGTGGTTTCGCAGAGAGAGAGAGATGTTTTGAAAATAAATTTACATTTTCCAATATACTCTTTAGTTAAAAAATTTATCACCGTGTGAAATTGACTGTTTGACTTCAAATTCATTTTGGATTCTAAATGTTATATTTAACTTTTGTTTTAATGTGATATTTGGTATTCTAAAATTATTGTGTTTTAAAAATTGCATTTTACCATTCTTTCTCATGTTAAATTACTAAGTGTTCATTTAATTACTGAGTGACACTTGTCGGACACCAAAGGGGCAGAGTGTTTATGCCCAAGGACATTTTAATCACTTTTACAAACAACATGTAATTAATTAATTATCGGTGTTCTTTATGTCCATGCAATCAAAGTATTTCATTAATTGCTCACTGTATCACTTTTACTCATTTTCAACACCTGTCAATTTTAACTCATTGTACATTTTCCCATAAATACAATTGTCAAATTTTACTAAATCAGTTCGGAGGCCGGGTGTACTACCGGCCACACGCCCGACTCGTTCCCCCATCATGCTGTAACTATTTCTACTTTTAACAGTTTGGAGGCTACGGCCATATCCAACTGGTTATTGTTTATTGTTGTTCCATGTTAGTCATTTCCATCGTTGGGACTTTATAATAAATTCGGAAACCATACTTATTCCTCGTTACTTTGGACTTTTTATATGTGTCATCGGGAAGAGTCCTTGGAATACGGCTCTACTACTTCCGGCCAACGACGCCACTCACTTCCCCTGCCAACATTCCCTCTCGCCCGATCGACGACACATCTTCTAGACCCAAACTACGCGGTTATAAATGGTGGAGAATCCTAAGGGTAACATCATCGCCCGGGGCTGCTGCATATATTTTGCAGTAGTCAGATCCCGAACCTTTCCAGCTAGCGAGTTCCCCCGTGACATATTCGACCAACCAGTTCAACATGCTCAACGATGGAAACAACTGCGCTGCAACAGCCATGGACAACTGCACTCGATTTACCATACCAATGCCTGTATACAAACCAGATGATTTTTCGTGACAGAATTTCATGACTTTTCCACTTTTTACCATCAAAGCATTTCTACGGACAATCGAGAACTTGTTTCAAACTTTATTTGCAGTGATTTTTCTTTCAAAACACGAGGACGTGTTTTTCCCGGAGCGGTGGGAAACTATCACCGTGTGAAATTGACTGTTTGACTTCAAATTCATTTTGGATTCTAAATGTTATATTTAACTTTTGTTTTAATGTGATATTTGGTATTCTAAAATTATTGTGTTTTAAAAATTGCATTTTACCATTCTTTCTCATGTTAAATTACTAAGTGTTCATTTAATTACTGAGTGACACTTGTCGGACACCAAAGGGGCAGAGTGTTTATGCCCAAGGACATTTTAATCACTTTTACAAACAACATGTAATTAATTAATTATCGGTGTTCTTTATGTCCATGCAATCAAAGTATTTCATTAATTGCTCACTGTATCACTTTTACTCATTTTCAACACCTGTCAATTTTAACTCATTGTACATTTTCCCATAAATACAATTGTCAAATTTTACTAAATCAGTTCGGAGGCCGAGTGTACTACCGGCCACACGTCCGACTCGTTCCCCCCATCATGCTGTAACCATTTTCTACTTTTAACAGTTTGGAGGCTATGGCCATATCCAACTGGTTATTGTTTATTGTTGTTCCATGTTAGTCATTTCCATCGTTGGGACTTTATAATAAATTCGGAAACCATACTTATTCCTCGTTACTTTGGACTTTTAATATGTGTCATCGGGAAGAGTCCTTGGAATACGGCTCTACTACTTCCGGCCAACGACGCCACTCACTTCCCTTGCCAACATTCCCTCTTGCCCGATCGACGACACATCTTTTAGACCCAAACTACGTGGTCATAAATTCCTCAAATCAAAGATTTATACCTCTGTGTGTTATAAAGTTTCACATGCATAGATCGGTGGGGGGGGGGTAAACTTGTACAGTCATGGGTTAATGTATTTATAAACTGAACGAACTAAAACTGACCTTGGACCCTCTACTTAGAAAAAGCCGATCAAACATTTAATATATTTACATGTATTTGTTTTTACAAATAAGATGTATTTTACATGCTTAAATCTAGAGAGAGGGGCCCAGATCACCCCTCTGAAGTTTGTAAAGTTATTTAATGCACAAACTAAACAACTAAAAGTTATTTAATGTTAGAACCCTCCACCCCAACCCTCCTGAAAACGCCAATTCGTGTTAAGTTGGTATAAAAAATGTCATAGACATGAAGGTGCGACGCATAAATAACCCCCTCTCCCCAGGCGAAATAAATGTTCACATTTAGGAAAGGACTTTCGTTTTATTTTCTTGTCAAGAAATTTCTGGGCTTGATTTTTTTTCCCAGAGTGAGCCTCTTGGAAAAATGTCCTAGATCCGCGCCTTTTTTGTGAAAATTTACATAAATATCAATAGAAAAATAAAATTTATTCAAGTTTGTGTAGCAGTTGGCAGTAAGTAGCTGACAGTTGACAGTAAGCAGGCAGCAGTTGGCAGTAAGCAGTTGGCTGTCGTATATGGCATTCCATACTTACTTACCTGAAAAAATTGACAAGCAAAAAAAAAAAAAACAAACAAAAAAAAAAAAAAAAAAAAAAAAAAAAAAAAAAAAAAAAAATTTAAATTAAAAGTTGCCCAAACCCGAAAATCTTATTTAGTGGGGGGTGGTGGGGGGGGGGGGGGGGGGGGGACGGGGGTAGTGGCCAACTTTTTCAAAGCCAAATTACTTTCCCTTTCAAATTTTTTTCCTACAATTCCTTGATAACACTATACTATGGTAAAAAGTGGGGGGGGGGGGGTTGCAACCATCCTTTAAATGAAAATTTTGTATTTTAAAGGTAAAACTGGGGAAAAAAGGGGGGGGGGGGGGGGCAGGCCCCCCTATTGCTACGTCCCTGCATAAAACTTTATGGGAGAAAAAAAATGATAACAGCGAATCTGTCTCTTTTCCATTGCCATTCTTTTGTAATACAAAATACTAAATGTAAAAAAAAAAACATTAGAAATTAAGAAAAAAACTTTCGGAATCACATTTTAAATGCTAGGTAAAGATTTTAAGCTTATTTTTTTTCAGGCGCGTAGCATCGTTTTTGAAAGTGGGGGGGGGGGGGCAACCAGAGAAATTTTTTTCATAATTACCTGAAAAAGTTGACAAGCAAAAAAAAAAAAAAAAAAAAAAAACGGAAAGAGTTGGCCAAAGTCGAAAATCCTATTTCGTGGGGTGGGTGGGTGGGGTTAGAGTTGTACACTTTTTCTCAGTGTCAACTACTTTCAGTAAATTTTTTTTTAAATACATTTTCGGTAAATCACTAAAAGTGGGGGGGGGGGGGGGGCAACCAGGCTTTCTATTAACATTTCCTATATTATTAGTAAGGTTGGGAAAAAAGGGGAGCAGCCCCCCCCCCCCTTTTGCTACGCCCCCTGTTGTTGCCCAAGTATATTTACTAAGGACTGGTATATTTGATTGTAGGAACCATGCTGCAGAAAAGTCTGTGTGGCTTTCAGAATAAAACAATTGTTTTAATTAATGAAAGATTTATAATTAGATTCCTGTAAACTTTGTAAACTCATGGCCCTTGAGTTTTCTAATTTATTATTATACAGTGTCCACGGGCAGAAACTACCACGTTTCCTTTTCTGCCTACAAGAACCATACCCAATCTGGACTCAATAAGAGACACATCATCAAGTTTGAGCAGACGATACTTAACCTTGGAAATCACTACCACCCCGAGGACGGGATATTTATTGCCCCGGTGTCAGGTGTTTATTTCTTCCACTGGACCATCAATAACCACGGGGATTATGCATATACCAACATATTGGTGGGAGGAAAAGTTATGTCAACAACTACTACCTCGGTAGTATCTGGACATAATTCTGGATCTGCTTTGGTGATTGTTCAAGTTCAGAAGGGGCAGCATGTTTGGATTCAGACCTGCTGTGGTTCTTCAAATGAAGTGTATGGAACCACTCTGGGGTTCGACAACGCTTTCCAGTCTACTTTTTCTGGGACCTTACTCTTTCAAGTTTCAGAAAATTAAAGATATGTATGAAAAAAAAAAAAACAAAAAACAAAAACACAATCCCATTGTTTAAAAAAAAGTGACAAATCTTATTAAATACAATTTTATAAACTGCTCATAGAAATAATCAATTTCTGTGAAATATATAATTGTGGAGTACTATTCGTTCCATCTGTTTTCATTTTTTTCCCCAATCTATCATAGTATACATGTAGCTGCAGAACTACAGCTCTCCAAAAAAATATATTGACAGAAAAGCTACAGTGCCACCTATTGAAAAACTGTATATTTATTGCACACCAAAAACCCTGTTTCTCGATTTTTTCTCCATGTTTTTAAACTGTCATCTCAAATATTACTAACCGTGTGTTCCTAACATATTCTTTCACTGTTTCCACAACAAAACATTCCTTATAATTGTTGTTAATAGCCCTCCTGGCCCTGAAATTGAGATGATCGAAAATTTTGTCCATTTATACTGCCATTTTGGTTTGATAATTTGACCCAACGCACTTCGTTCACATGTAAACTAGGAGAGTAATTGAGGAGAAAATGACTTTTTGAAATCTAGCTTTTTTGCAATTGGTGTAAGAATTTGGAAGAATTTATCGAGAATCGAGCGCACCTTTTTGTGTGCAATAAATATACAATTTTTTCAATGGGTGGCACTGTAGCTCTCTGGTCTGTCGATATATATTTTTTCGGAGAGCTACAGTTCTGCAGCTATCAAAGTAAGGTTGGCAGAAAAGATTGAGTAAACTTAAAACTGTTCAAGAGATCATAAAGAACCTGTTATATATCACAAGAAATGACAAATTTCATGCAGATATTAGGCCTAATATATGAAATGAAAATGCTTTTCAAAACTGTGCCATCAGCATTGGAACAATGAATTGATTGTTCATTGTCACATTGTGTGTGATTTAGGCCTGAAATTCACATTGTACCCTAAATTGGAAAAATCAAACTAGACTTGAAAAAGCTATAAAGAGAAAGTAGTCTCCAAATGATGTTGATTCTTTGTGAAAAAAGGGAGTACTAGATTATACATGTCTATAAATATTATTGATAAGGTTTTTGTAGACCTCTACATTTAGTAATATGTGTAATTATAAATTTTAACTGCAGCATTCATGTGTCTTTATAAACTAAATAATTTTAAATAATCAATGTGTGTAATAATGTATTTAATCTATTTAAGATCAGCTATGTATTATACATATGAGTGACATACACATGACTTATCAATAAAACACCTTTAATAATATACCGGTACAGTCTTAAAATGTTCAACAACTGAAAAATTCATGGACGGAATTCAATGTCCTAGACATTTGCTTATAAAATGCTTCTGCACCAAAATACAAGAGGCCCATGGGCCTTATAGGTCACCTGAGCATCATGCAACAACTTTACAATGATTGACTTTGGTTCATGTTTTAAACTAGATGCCATTCACAATTTTGAAAGAGGCACCATTGCTAATCATAACTATACACTTAGCATGTTTAGTATGGTTACTTAATACCCACAGACAGAGTAGGGGAACAAAACAAGAGGCCCATGGGCCTTATAGGTCACCTGAGCATTATGCAACAACTTTCCAGTGATTGAATTTGATTCATGTTTTAATCCAGATGCTATGGCATTCACAATTTTGAAAGAGGCCCCATTGATCATCATAACAATACACTTAGAGTTGCTTAGTTTGTTTACTTAATACCCATAGGCAGGGTAGGGGAACAAAAAATGTATTTCAAGTAATCAGTAATATTCAGCATGATCAGTAATGCCCCAATCACACATGAACCCCTCACCCTTAGGCCTAGATCCACACATTGCACAATTTTTGAAAAGGCACCCTTGCTTTTCAAAAATATTTGATTAATACCAAGGAGCATATTTCGAACAATTCATCCAGTTTCAGTATATAAGTACAGCCCCCCTCCTTTATGGTACCCCTGACCCTGGGGCCTTGAAATTCACAATTCTGGAAGATTAGTACCCTTGCTCATCATAACTATATAGGTAGTTCATCTGCTTAATACCAAGGAGCAGAGAAGGAAACTTTCAAAGATTCAATGTATTTTCACTATATAATCAATAGAGCCCCGCCCTATCACTAGAACCCCTGACCCTAGGGCCATAAAGTTCACAATTTTGGAAGAGGTATTCTTGCTCATCATAACTTTGTAATTAGTTTATTTCATTCCTAGGAGCAGAGAGGAAGATTTTCAAAGAATTTATGTATTTTCACTATATAATCTATAGAGCCCTGCCCTAACACCAGAACCCCTGACCCTGGGGCCATAAAATTCACAATTTTGGTAGAGGCACTCTTGCTCATCATAACTATGCACTTATTTAATTTATTTAATACCCAGGAGCAGAGAAGAAGATTTTCAAAGAATTCATGTATTTTCACTATACAATCTATAGACCCCCCCCCCCCCCTTACACCAGAACCCCTGACCCTGGGGCCATAAAATTCATAATTTTGGTAGAGGCACTCTTGCTCATCATAATTATGCACTTAGTTTATTTAATACCCAGGAGCAGAGAAGAAGATTTTCAAATAATTCATGTAATTTCACTATATAATCTATAGAGCCCCCCCCCCCTTCACCAGAACTCCTGACCCTGGGGCCATAAAATTCACAATTTTGGTAGAGGCACTCTTGCTCATCATAACTATGCACTTAGTTAGTTTATTTAATACCCAGGAGCAGAGAAGAAGATTTTCAAAGAATTCATGTATTTTCACTATATAATCTATAGAGCCCCCACCTTACACCAAAACCCCTGACCCGTGGGCCATAAAATTCACAATTTTGGTAGAGGCACTCTTGCTCATCATAACTATGTACTTAGTTAGTTTATTTAATACCCAGGAGCAGAGAAGAAGATTTTCAAAGAATTCATGTAATTTCACTATTATAATCTATAGAGCCCCACCCTTACACCAGAACCCCTGACCCTGGGGCCATAAAATTCACAATTTTGGTAGAGGCACTCTTGCTCATCATAACTATGTACTTAGTAGGTTTATTTAATACCCAGTAGCAGAGAAGAAGATTTTCAAAGAAATAATGCATTTTCACTATATACTTATTTGGCCCCGCCCTAGCACTAGAACCCATGACCCCGGGGCCATGAATTTCACAATTTTGGTAGAGGACTCAATGTTGATTACAATCATGCAAACAGTTTGACTGCTTAATGTCCAGGAGTAAAGAAGAAGATTTTTAAAGATTGCACTAATTTTAGTGGTTTTTGCCCCACCCCCCAGGCCCCAGGTGGGCAGGGACCATGAAATTCACAATTTTTGTTCCCCTTTACCCATAGATGCTATATGCCAAATTTGGTTGAAATTGGTTCAGTGGTTTCAGAGAAGAAGCTGAAAATGTTCAAATGTTAACGCACGACGAACGACGACGGACGAAAAGTGATAGCAATAGGTCACCTGAGTTTACTCAGGTGACCTAAAAATGCATTTCGACTAATCAGTAATATTCAGCAATAATCAGTATAGTGCCACTACCATACATTAACCCCTGACCCTTGGTCCACACATTTCACAATTTTGGAAAAGGCACCTTTGCTTATCAAAAATAACGGTATTTGATTAATACAAAGATTTCAATCAATTAATTCATTTTCAGTATATAAGTAGAGCCCCCCCCCTATGGTACCCTGACCCAGGGGCGTTGAAATTCACAATTCAGGAAGAATGGCCCTTGCTCATCATAGCTATATAGGTACATATGTAGTTCATCTGCTTAATACCCAGGAGCAGAGTTTCAAACAATTTCTGCATTTTTTCTATATGATCAATAGAGCCCCGCCCTAAACCAGAACCCCTGACCCTGGGGCCATAAAATACACAAAGGCATTCTTCCTTATCATGAATATGTACTTGATGAGTTTATTTAATACCCAGGAACAGAGAAGAAGATTTTTAAAGAAATAATGTATTTTCACTATATAATCAATAGAGCCCCACCCTAACACCAGGCCTGGGGGCCATAAAACTTAGACGAGCTCACTTTTGATCTCAGTCTCACTTTTACCAAAGGAATATATAGTGGAAGAGTGAGATTGAGATCAAAAGTGAGCTCATTTAACTTT